TGCAGCGGGCTGGCTGCCCAATGCCCTCAGTTTATAGACGTTAAGGGATGGAGTGCTGAGCAGAACTGGCTGCAAGACTCTTCTGTTTTTGCGTTGGTGGTGATGAAGGATTGGAAATGTCAAACCACCGGAAATGGTAAACCCCAGCTAATGATGATGGAAATGGAGCGCTGAGGATGCTGCAGTGCTGCTGCCGTGTCCATTTCCCACTACATCATAGGCGCGGCTATTGAATGCCTATCCCGTCGCGCTGAGTATCACTCCTCAGTCCTCAGCTGGGGTACTGCCGGTGCAAGAAAAGTTGATCGTAACTGATACATCTCACAATGGTTTTTTTTTCTAATACAAACGGATAATCAAGCATCAGAGGAAACCGCGGTTTCAGCCGGATTTCCACCCATTTGCTTTGAAAAAGTTGAAAGATTATTTAAGAAGACTGGACCGCGAACTTTTTCCATGAAATAATTTAGAAAACCGGTCTTTCAGCTTTTCAAGTTGAAAAGCACTGAGTCAGACCTTCCGAAAAGCTACCAAAACGGTTTTGCACCCAAAGTTTTCAAAAAAAGCTTGGGTGAATTTGCAATTTTTTGACCTTTTCTGTTGCACGTATTTGAAGGATTTGCTCGTTATCTTGTCAAACAGATCACAGTTGTTGGCTTGGAAGCTGACAAGAACCACACCCATTTGTCCTCCTCCTCATCCTCATCAAATGAAGATGGAGAAGAAGAAAGTTCAGATGAGGACGAGATAATGAGTGTTCAATTGACTAGAAAGGCCCCTCCCGGCCTCCTCCATCACTTTCAAGAAGCTAAACAACAAACCGACTATGGCGATGACAATTGTTGGGACTCTAGTTGCCATTCCAATCCCTCTAGCTTTTGGTCTTCCCTCCTTTTCAATCCAAATTCTCCTGCCTTCCATCAGATGTCTTCAAGTGTTATCTCTAATCCTACTCCATTTGGCTTTGACAATTGCTTCTATGGGCCCACTTGCTCCTTTCCTCAATCTTTCCAGGACCACTCCAATCTCGTTCATCTTTCTCTCTTTCTATTTTCCCTCTAAATGTCACACTCTCTCAATCCTTAAAGAATAATCAGACGGAATGTTTCATCAAACAACTGATTGATTGTATGTATTTCTCTTAATTTGTGTAGGATCGGGGGTTTCAAGGTAGGCTTTCCAGGTCCCAGGAGGCTCGCGCAGGTTGTCAAATCCAGGACAAAAAAGCCACCTGGAAAGCCACCTGCGGCCCTGGGCTCCTTCTTCCCTCTGCCTCCCAGGTGGGCACTCGCAGGTCCAGGAACACAGGACGAAAGGAGTTAAATCCATAAAACCTCACCTTTTTGCCTGCCCCCCCTGCCCCCCCCCCTACACCCCGAGCTGATCCCGGTATCCCCCAAAGTGAACCCTTTTGGTCATCCGGTCATCCTGCGCCGTCCTCCCACGCCTTCCCTGACCCTCTCACTCATCCCCTCATCTCAGCTCAGTTTTGCACCAATCATGCCACCGAATACCTACCGGCCTCCACCATCCTCTCCAACTTGTTGAGGATTAATTAGTTACGTGAGATGTAGAGTGTCATGTGGGGTTTTCAAGATTGATGTGGGAGGAGATTAGGTAATCAAGTTGGGGTTGTGTGTTGTCGTCTCGTCGGTGTTTTTCAAATGGTGTGATTCTCTTATTTCATTTACTCAAACTCGTCAAGAAGAGAAGATCACGCTGTTCGGAACCCTCAAGATCAAACGAGTAGAAGAAGTAAAGGTACTCAATCTTAGTCTCAAGTATACCAAATGCAAGAAACTCATCGTCGAATTGATTAACTCAAACAGACCAGAATCAGTCGAGAACATCAATCAAGGAGGAGGAAGAATACAAAAAACTAAGGAGCTTAATAGTTTGTTGTTTTCTTTTTCATTCATGTTTAAGTTTAAATGTATCATTGTTAACTAAAACATAGTTGGTGTCTAGTTTCTGTTTCTTCAAAGTCTTGTCGTCGTTATCAATCATCGTCACTGTTTAGTTTCATTGTTTCAGTTATCAGTAACTAAGTCGGTATTGAGTTTCTCTTATTTCAGTCTTATCGTTATCTTGTGGTGGCTCTTATGATCTCTTTATTTTTATCATTGTTTTTCACTTATTAGTTTACCTACTACTACTGGCTGTTTTGACTTGATTTGCAATAAAGAGTACTCGTCGTGACTTCACACAACTATCACAGTTACGAGTCAATACAAGAAGAAGAATCCTGCCGTTATGTTGGACAAAGATGGTAGCCCTGACGGCCTGTCAAGCATTCAGATCTTGTACATCGGCTTGCCATTGACCCCAACTATCATTGATGGCAAGGCAATACCAAGAGTGTCTCAACCAAAGTGGCTTTGGCCACCATGGCCACGTGTGGCATAGTCCACCGAGACAAGAAAGGGATTCAAACAAAGGTTCAAGAACTTCAGAACTCGTACGCAAAAGCGAGATTAGCGGTGCCTGATTAGCAATAGCCATGATTTGATGGAGGGTGATTACTCTCTAACCCCGGAGGGTGCAAACAGAGCCCCCGGTGATGGGGCAACTTGTGGTTCTGGGGACTTCTAGGGGGGGGGCTCTGGAGAAGATAAACCCTTTTTGGCCCCCCGATTGGAATGGATAATACTAGTTAGAGCATCTCCAACGGAACCGCAATCGGGCCACCGGGGGCAAACTTTGACCGCCTGGTTTCATTTTTTGACCTCCAACGGACCCGCGGATCAACCCTGAAAACATTGCGCAGGGCAGTCAAACCCGCGATGACCTGCTGACTTCTGCGGGTCACCTCCCAGCCGCAATTCAATCCTTCCTCTGCAGCACCATCACCACACCTTCATCGACCGATCGAACACACCTCCATCAACCGATCAAACACACCTCCATCACACCATCAATACAGATCTGCACCAACACAAAAATGGCAGCCACCTAGCATAATCGGATTATTCCTTTTTTCAGTTGATTATTGGATTGATTCTATTATTTTGTTGGATTAACACATTGTCTCTTCCTTTTTTGGTTTGATAATAAGATTGTTTCTGTCTTGTTCTCTCATCACTCTAAGATAATTCACTTGAAAACAGTTTTCATTTGCATTCCCTTTCCACATATTTTTGTCTTGCTTTTTTAAACAAACTGGAAAATAAACAAGAGAAAACAATAGAGATGTCAGCAGGTACCTGTTTGCAGGTACCCGGTACCCGTTTGCAGGTACCTGTTTTCCAAAGCAGGTACCCGGAAACAGGTACCGGGTGCGGGTGTCAAAATTTGTGGTAAAAAAAGGCAGGTACCCGGGTACCCGCCTTACACCCGCCCTGGGAATGCTTCCCCTGAAGAATTTAATTTATCATTGGTGGTCCAACACTCCCTTTTTTGGGTTTGTTGGGCTGCACAAAGGTGTCAGCAACCCATGTAGGACACCAGCTGGTGTCTTACATGTGTTGCTGAACTAATCTGGTTGCTTTGTTGAGGCCAGAGGGTTCCCTCTTGCCTTTGAGATGGTGTACAGTCTTGATGACTAGAGGAATTCCTCCAGTCTTAAAGACGGTGTACAGTCTTCATCAATGGACATTGAATAAGGCAAATGAGGCCAAGCAAAAGGGTAAAGCTAAAGATAGATCAGAGAGAAGATAAAATTCAAATTGGTGATAGAATAATTTGTTTTGCTTTATTTCTTTATTTCTATTTTATTCTTACTCATATATCTAGTGAATATCAATCTTATATTTACCAAGTCATGCAGAAATGCAAGGGTGAGATTTCTGGGTATATTTGCCTGCAAAAATGTGCCAGGTACCCGCAGGTACCCGGTGCAGGTACCCGGGTACCCGCCCTGGCGGTCCTAGCAGGTGCGGGTGTCTAAAATATTGGATTTTTGAGGCAGGTACCCGCACCCGCTACAGGTACCCGGGTATCGAGTGACATCTCTAGAAAACAATAAAGTGAAATTGCAAGCAATCAAGAAAATGATCAAGTGAAATTGCAAGTGATTGAGAAGACAATCAAGTGAACAAGAAAAAGTAGACAACTATTGCAGTGTGGAAAAAATTTTTGCACAGTTCCCAAGAAGCTAGTTAAAGGTACATCTGATCTATGTAGCTATGTATGCTTGAGTAAATTGCATTCCAATTAGAAAAGAAAAATGGGCCCATTCCTCCACCATCAACAACTGCCGAGGTTATTGACTTGGATGAAATTGAAACTAGCCAAGGCGGGGCCGTATCCGGAAAGCGCAGTCAAACCCAAGGTTCTGCAGTTTCTCACCCCCCAGCAAACAATTTTTTCTCCTTGGCATTGTATCAGCCCGCTCCCAAAATCAACGGCATCCAAGGAGAAATTTAGCATTACTTAAAAGAGGATGTCAAAACCAAGGACATCCAAGTCCTGCCTTATTGGGCAAGCCAACAGAAATCATTTCCAAAACTCTCCCTGATGGCCTGACCTGGCCTGACGGTACCTTTCAATCCCTGCCACCAGTGCTGCATTGGAACATGTCTTTTCCACTGTTTGTCAGGTTGTCTCATGGCAGTGATCATCTCTCAAGCCCTCGGCAATCAAGAGTCTGCTGTGCTTGAAGAATTGGTTCCAGGCCTGCAATGGCCCCTTCTAGCTAGTTTTTTTTCTTCTTATCATTTCTTATCAATATCAATATTATTCTACAAAAAAAATACTTGTAATACAGTCAAACCTGGCTAACTGCATACCTGTATAAGGGCATAAACCCTCATACTACATACTCATTTGAGTCCACCAAATTCTCATTTTTGCCCTTAGCCTACCCTTGTAACCACATAACCTGCCAAACCACATAACAAATTCTTTCCACCAAGAGGTATGTGGTTAGAGAGGTTTGACTGTACACAACAACCAAGTAAAAAATATCAAGAAATAAAAAAAAATCTGCTAAAAAAACTACTAAAAAAACCCCGGGTTTTTGGGGTTTACCAAGACCCCATCCCAATTCCTGGACCCTGGGGCTTGGAATCGGGTCAGACCTGAAAACCCAAACTTTGGGACAATCCCTTACCCAAGGAGTCTAGATATTTGGAGGAAAATATAGCTTTTGAGGCTGTATATGAAAACTGAGGGACCCACAAATTTTGATTGGAAGTCCCCCAGTATCAGTAATCTGGACACCCTTTGTTCTTCTCCATGAGTTTACCCACTTGTTCCTCAAAGTGTCCATCCATTCATATTCTCCTCTCACTCTCTCCTAAGCTCAGATTTCAAAAAGTGTACAGAGAAATATATTCATTGCATCAAAAAGGTTTGATACTTTTTTCCTTCTTTCATCTCTTCTTTTTATTGCATGACAAGAATCAGCTCTGCATATTCTTATGTTAAAACATAGTTGGAAATTAGGTACTTCCAATCCTTTACTATACTCAGCTTCACTTGGTCTTTCCTTTTTGGCTCTCTCTCATTTCCTTTCAACAGCCCTCAATCTGAAAATGGATCAGGTCCTAAACTAACACACTCGACTCATTCTTCTCTCAACTACTCAGACTTGACTCATGAGCAAAACTCATCCAAGGTTTGAGCCGATCTTTGTAGTTGTTATTCTTTCTGGTTCTCTGTTTCTCTCATGTCAAGTGCGCTGCATGTATTTCCCCTTTATCTCTATATCCACAAAGGCTTAGCCAAATATTTGTATATATAAGAATGTTGTTACTCAACTGTTTCTTGCTCTTCTTCTTCATGCTTTCTGGGAATCAATACACTCCATATCATCACCACAGTCACTGGTGCATTGATAATTGCACTCCCCTCCCCTCCCTGCCCGCCCACGCCCCGCCCCTCCAAAAGGGGCATGCAATCACACCCGCCCGTCTCTGAGGGGCGCGTTTGATTGCACGCCCCTCAGAAGCCTTATTTCCGAGGAAACAGGCTTTGGAGGGGCGGGGACTGAAACCCGCCCCTCAGAGAGGGGCGGGAGGACTTGCCTGCCCATCAAGAACCGCTCTTGATTGGCAGGTTCCAGCAGCCAAGACAGATCAAGCAGAGGAATTGCTGTAACGGGCCAATTGAAGCCATATACCCTATTAACATTTGGACAGAAATTGCATAATCCTTTTTCAAGATTTTGTTTTTTGGCTTTTCTCGGCTCGATTGATCTGTTAAAACACATCCGGTAATTTCTGGAAATCTCACAAGGATACACTTCTCAACTCTGCTCTGCTGGGCAAGAAGATTTATAAGATGTTCAAGAGCAGCCTGTTGAGGGACAATTTTTATAATCACTCGAATCAGAGCATTGTAGATGGATTAATCAAAGCAAAAGCACCACCTCTTACATAGGTTCAATGTCTCAGCCTACGTGGTATTTGATCGCGTCCATCTCCCGAGCAAGAAGGTTACAGAGGACAATAACAAGAATTGGTGTTGGACTGTGTTGGCCAATGCCCAGAAACTGCTAGCCCAAGGCAACCAAAAACAAGCACGCGAAGAATTTGTCAAGGTGGTTGAGTCACTCCTTGACTAGCTCACAATGTCATCCTTTCCCTCCATTCAATGGGTGTTAAATATGTTGTTGCTCTGTATGAAGCAGATGCTCAGCTACAATACTTGGAGATGAAGGGAGAAGTCCATGGAATCATCACGGAAGACTCGGATCTGTTAGTCTATGGTGCTCGGAACATCTTGTTCACAATGGACCCCTCTGGCCCCTGTATTTACATATGTCGCAACAAATTGGGTCAGGTTGATGATAAACGGATGGGCCCATGGGATGAACAGCAGTTCAGACAAATGGCCATGCTGAGCGGATGTGATTACCTGTCTAGAATTGATAGCAATTGTTGGAACACCATAGATTGACAGTTCCCAATCTGAGAGTTTGTCCATCAAGTGATCCTTAACTTGCTCAATAGGGGGTATCAAATATAGCAAATCCACCTTTGCAAACCCGTCACTTATTTTTTTGAAATCCACAATTATTAATTGACGGGTTTCCAAAATCCACCTCCATCAACCCCAACGGGTTTTGAACAAAAAAACACACATCTTTTCACCCAAACCAGTCAATTAAAAAATCCCATTTGTTTCAACTCATATCACCACCAAATTTCACTCGCACCACCAAACTTCACCTCATCAGCACCAGTCATCTCACCACCAAACTTCTCATTGTCAGCACTGATCATCCCACCACCAAACCATTCATCATCAACACCAAGATCGGCTCCACTCGTCCTCAAAAACAATCATGCCCAAAGTATCTCGAAGTGATCTGTCCGGGATGTTCAAACTTTTCCTTGCAGAGTGGACATTGGTGTGCGCTGTCGATCTCAGGACGCCTATCGCCGTGATTCTCTATGGTCAGCCCAAGAGTCGCCATCTCCAAAAAATGCAATACTATTCTCCAATTCATTAGCATTACAGGTCACAAAACACCCCATCGATAGGGTTCTCTCTCCTACCAAAGAGAAGGGAGAGGACCCAATTAGGTCAGCAAAACATCCTAGGATGTTTTGCTGACATAATTGGGCAGGGACCAGGCCCGCCCCTCCTGCCAGTCTCTTGATTGGCAGGTGATTCCTCCCGCCCATCTCTGAGGGGCGGGCTCTTCTTCCCGCCCCTAGGAAGCCTGTTTCCTGGGGAAATCAGGCTTCCAAGGGGCGTGTAATCAAACCCGCCCCTCAGAGACGGGCAAACGTGATTAAACACCCCTTTTGGAGGGGCGGGGAGGGGAGGGGAGTGCAATTATCAACACACCAGTCACTGACTTCACACAGTCAGACTATCATCCCTTTTTCCGTGCCACGCACATCACTCACCGCACCTTGTGCAGACTGCCCTTGCTAGATCTTACTCAAGACATTGAAGCCTCAAAAGGTCTCTATAATGTGTGTTTTTTGGCTCAGGATATTGCCACCTGATCAGGTAACATGAACCCAATTTGACCCTGGTGATTGCAAAACTTTTATCATACTTCAATCTGGATAAAAGAGGTCTGTGTTTGCTTCAAAAGTACATATTTGTTAATCTTATTTTATGGTAGTGGCCATCCAGAATTCCTTGTATCCAGTTGTGTTGAAATAGTCATGGAAAGAATCTAGTCTTCAAGGATTTCTACTTCATTTTAGCCAAATAAAAAGAAGTTCGGGACAGATGGAAACTTGGACAATTTCATGGAATATGTTTTTTTGAACAAGGTGTCAGCTGTGCTGCATGCAGTGACAAGATAGAACTGAACAAGAAAACTTTGAATTTCAAATTGGATATCGACAAGGTATGGTTTTTGTTGTGACTAAGAGCAGAAACTGAATGTGCTTTTACAAGTTGGAACTGATAGAACTGGTATAGATGAGCATACTTTATGTTTCAGTTATAGGAAAAATAAATTGCTTCTATTTTTTGTAATTAGAAATCAGATTACAATTGTGTGAATAAGTTTTTAATCTCTCATTCAAACCTTTGATGGAGTAAAAAAAGATGTCATTGAAGAAAGCAGAAATGGTATTAGGAATATTTTTCCTATCTTGAAATAACAACCTGCATAAGTTTTCTTGGCCTGATTCCACAATCACAGTTGAAATCCAATTCCAATTCACAGTAAATGGCCTGACACCCTGTCTATCATTGCCTTTTTTCTTCTCAATGTTGGATACTGAACCAAACTTGTGAAGTGAATATGTTTTGTCTTGAACCCTTGGTTCTGCTAATTCAATGGCTTTCTTGAGAAGAGTTAAACTAGGATCATTGGAATCAGTTGGATAATATTTTTGAAGCAAAGTACCAATCATATCAATGTAGAATAAAAGTAATGCAAAACCCCTTCTATCAATCAGACTGATATCTTTCTTTTCTTCAAAATTATTTCCAATACGTTTTTCCCATAGCATAAACCATTGCATTTCATTTGACTGAAACTCTTTCAACGCATCACTTTGTAGTTTTTGTCTTTGATTCTTGTCATCCTTATGCTCATTGTATGTTTTCTTGGTAGTCCTTAAATATTCCAACCTTCTTGAGATTGGATAAAGATGGTTTTGAATTTGCATTTTGAAGAATGCAAGTTGAGAATCCAAAGTTGGCAGCTGGTTAGCTCCCTGAAACATTTCCACAAGGGAACAAATGCTTTCTAATTTGCATTCATCTTTTTCTGATGAATTTTGACCCAGTTTAAATATATTTGCATCAAACTTCAATATCTCAGTAGGCTTCGTTGCTGGTTGTTGTGCTAACATGATGAGTTTTGTGGAACTAAGATGGGGTGCAGGTCTGTTACCAAAATGTTTTTCTGATTCCAATAAAAAATTCCAAGATTCCAAGCTTACTTTACTGCTGCTACATGAGTGTCCTGTGAATACACCATCTTTCATTTGATTGGTCATCCCTAAAGTGATTCCTTCTGCACCGGTTATTAGTTGATTGCTTTCTATTCCAATTGGGGAGCTCTTGATTGGAACACGATTATTTGAAGGATCAAAAAATTTGACTCTCTTGGCTGCTTGGTGCTGATAATGGACACCCGAATATGACAAGCCTTGATGTGAGAAATTTTTGAGGCGCTTTGAAGAACTCCTGTCTGTCATATCCTGGTTTATTGAAAATTGAGGGCTTCGATTGATCTGCGACTGTAATGACCTATCCTTCCCAACCCCAGACAAGGTCGCATTGTAAACGCTTATATGTGCTTTTTGCACCTGATGATACGAAGTCTGAAGATTCACATTTTCTATTGTGGTTGGTAACGAATAAGAAGTCCAGATGTCTTGGGCCGGTTCAGGACAAGAAGTTGGATTTTGTGATTGAACTTCATGAGGGTCTGTCATAGGCTTCTCACAATGAAATGGGTCAGATCCATATCCAGCAACTGCATCGGGTAAGACTGGAACTAAGGAAGCTTGCTGATGTCTGAAACCATGATGTGCGTTTTTTCCAATATTGGACGGAACCAATGAACTCCCCAGGGATAGCTTGGTGATTGAGTCTGACTCGGCGGCATCTTCTTGGCCAGGGTGATTTACTTGAGGTGTTGTTAGGCCAACATGAAGACTTTTTTTGAGTTCAACATCATCGTTGCCCCGGCCAGGAAAGAGATTGAGAGTTACCGGCCATGCTGGGGCCTCTGCAGCATTACAAAAAATCCATAGCCCAAGATGAGTGAAGAACAGACGATTCCTAAGACTAACAAACATGATTTTGTCAAGTTGTTGGTAATGAATGCTACGGGGAAACTTGATAATCTTCCTGTTGATTGAAAGGTACTTGATTAAAATGCTCAGATATATCCGGTCTGCAAGGGAAAGAAGTTCTCACACATGGGCCAACATATCGATAGTATGCGTAGTAAAGGTGTCCTTGTCAAAACTAGTCTCCTTGTCAAGTCTAGAGCCAATCATAAATACATGTATCTCTCCTCAAGATGTATCAAGTCACTTATTCAGCTTGTTATGTAGAGGAAATTACTAGGGTGGTGACAGCAAGCTGGGCTTCCTGTCGGGACCAGAGCTACAATTGCAAAACACGATCACCGCAGCATTCAAACTAGGTCCACAAAAAAGCATCAAATGCATCCTAGAGAGCAGTGTGCGTGTCAAAGAACGAAGAGAATAGTGATCTGTAAGCGTAATTGGAAGTAACAGGTGTTCAGCATCCATTTAACAAATAAATGAACTAGAACTCAAACAGCCTTATCAATATTTGCTATATTGACAGGCTAACATTGCCAATTCAACACATTTTGGTGCTGCCTCAAAGATTAGAAAATCCTAGAAACTTCTAGTTTCTGGGGCACCTGGCATTTTTTTTTAATCATTCATCTCATATAGCAAAGAGTCAATGATAGAAACAGTTTCTTTCTTCAAATTTTAAAAATTGTCATTTGGAATATTTTTATTTGCACTAGATCACTTTTTGGACCTCCTTTTTCTCAACTATATGTACCTGCAATCCCCATGAGCTCAATTTGTTTGTTGGAGTTGTCAATTCAAAAAAAAAAAAAAAAACAATGTGTCAATATTGGATGAACCACAGTTGTACATACATTTGAGATTCAGAGAAACAATTGTATGTACGCAAATAAAAAAACACAATCAAACCAATCAGTTATCTCAACTATTCAATTGTGTTAGAATAAAGAATTAAGGAAGCAAATGTGATCTTTTACCAAGATCTGAGGACTAGTTAAAAGTGGAAGACCAAATTTCACATTGGGACTTGAGGCAGTTATGTCTCAAGATGAGCAGAGAGGTTACTCATTTGTTGACATGATCATAGAAAGTTGAATTGAAAAGTGAAAGCTTGACATAAATTATGCATATCTAGGAATCAGAAAATATTGTCAAAGTATTCTTGAGCGTATCACAATGCAACACTATTGTTTCAACTAAAGATGCTGATCTGGGTAATACTCCGACAATCTCTTGTTCAGATTTTGAATTGAGCAACAAAAGACATCACCAAAGAAACCTCGAGTGAGATGATGGATCCTATTTGTGTTGCTTTGAAAGAAGATCTTGTACAATTGCTCATTATGTGATTCAATGATAAATTTTTCTATCCAACTCCAAACCAAGCTGAAAGGTCTGGTTGTTGGCGGTTTGATATGTTTTCCTTTTGTGCTCGATGATTGAGTTGATCTGGGATTAGAACTTGTGACTTGAGTTGATTTTCTTCCAATCCACTGATCATCATGGGATTGCAATGATTTGTTCAAAATACTTGACTTGAACAACTTGATTGCATTTTTCAGGAGAATGGATCCTGGATCTTGGATTCTATCTGGATAAAGTGTATAATAATTGGGAAGGATGGCACCAATCATATCAATGTAAAAGAGAAGCAAAGTCAAATGTCTTTGAGCAAAAGGCTGACTGATCCTTTTATCATCTTGAAGCAAGTCAATTTGCCCAACGTCAAGTTCAACCCCAGTTCTTTCTTCCCAAAACCTGAACCAGAGTCTTCTGTTAGAATACAGCTCGTTCAATGAGTCATTCAACAAGCTTCCTCTTTTTGATGAAGGTGCTCTGTGTTTTTCAATGTATGAGAGATCTGGATTTTCAAATCTTAAATAGTCTACTCTAGAGTGCTTATTGATTCGCCGAGAAACAACTCTAAAATGCGAATGAAGATGTTCTGGAGAAACGTGACTGAACTTAAGCTTCTGCCCTTTAGGTGATTGCGGGATGAGTGAAATTATGCTGTCAGCTTTGGCTCGACATGCTGCTGATAGATACTCATCCCGTCGAAAGACATCAACATTGAACACTAGAATATCAGTGAGCTTGGTCACCTTCTGTGGCGTTGGCATGCTCATGCTGTTGCTGCCATCAAGGGTTGTTTCGACTCTCGGTAGATGACCATTCTGCCATTCCCACCTGGTTGGTGCGGTACTCTTTGATGCTCCTGTGATCACATTCCCATACCCTTTGGGGTAATTGTGGGCCGTTGAGCTATGCTCAAGTTGATTGGCATCTCTTAGAAGATGTTTGGTTGATGTAATCTGGAGGCGAGGAATGCCAATCGAGCTGGAAGACTGTTCAAGTTGAACCCTTTTGGCTGGGGGATGTTCGTCTTGATATGGCTTTGGATGATATTGCGTGGCTTGTACCGCAACGGTTGGATAAGCTTCATGAGGATTTGTCGGTAGCTTCTGATAAGATGGACAAGACCCAATCCCTACTACTGGTGCGTCGTAAAGAATTGAAGCCCGATGATGACCGGTTGCCGAATGATTCATTAAGATCTGCATTCTTTTATCTCTGAAGGGGGCTGATTGTAGTTGTCCTGATGATGAAGCAGTTGATCCAGCGGCAAGGTTTGCTTGGTTAGCATTACAGTCTTGGGCTTGAGGTGGTACAAGATTGCCATGCAGAAAGCTGGCCAAGTTGGTATCGAAATTGCCCCTGCCCAAGCTTAGCTTTAGCGGCCATGCTGGACCTTCTGAAGCGAGACAGGTGCTCCATAGGTGAACGAGGAACAGACGAGTAACACGATCACAACACATCGTTTTCACCAAGGAATTCTTCTGTTTGGAGGACTGCAGGAAGGAACTGAGGGTGGAAGATCCAATCTATGATCATCATCAGTGCGACAGCCAAAAACCAGAAACCGAGCAGGCACGTAGGTGCGCAGTGTGTGTGTTCCTGTACCCAATCTCGCGCTTCTCAAGCTGTCTGTCTGTCTGATCGGGAACACCCATGCTTATTGTTTAGGATCAAGGTTCAGTGAGCAAGGGATTGGATATGACATGTGTTCGGCTTTGTTTGTACGCGCTTGAGGGCGGGGCACGTGACCAGATGATATGAATGATCTATCATTGTTAACAAGGAATGGTCATTGTCATATACCAAGTTCTTTCCGTTAAACAGGACCTGCGCCGGGTAAGTAACCACTCATGCTACACATTTTTTTCTTCAGGTGTTGTGGTGTATTGAACACGCACAATAAGCCAAGGGAAGCGGGGTGGAAACGCAACGCGCGAAAACAACCCTTGAGACAAGCCCTGCTCTGGCAAGTCTTGAACAAGCCGGCATACTGGCATGGGGTGCCCTCAAGTCTCTGAGGTGCAACTGCGAGTATTCAAGCGTGAGTTTGAGTGTCGCGAGAAAAATGAAGGATTGTATTGCCACGTGTACATTAAGATGATTCAACATAAGAGTGACAGTTACGCAGCACACATCATGCTAGAGTGTGTGGCAGCTAATGCGGCCGTGGGTCTCTTAGCCGAGATAAGTACAAAATATGATACATGAAATGAGGGCCGGCTGTGCATATCAAACTATATACCTCCACGGAGACGCAGAACCAAGTGGAGAGTTGATTCCTTCTGGATGTTGTAGTCGGCAAGGGTGCGACCGTCTTCAAGCTGCTTGCCGGCAAAGATAAGACGCTGTTGATCCGGAGGGATGCCCTCCTTGTCTTGGATCTTGGCCTTTACGTTGTCAATTGTATCGGACGACTCAACCTCCAACGTGATGGTCTTGCCAGTTAATCTGTCAACAAATAAGCGATCGCTTGTTAGTCTGCTGAGACAGAGCAATAAGCTGAGATGCCCATAACCTACGTCTTGACAAAGATTTGCATCCCTCCTCGAAGACGAAGAACCAAATGAAGGGTTGATTCTTTCTGAATGTTGTAGTCAGCCAGAGTACGCCCGTCCTCAAGTTGTTTCCCAGCAAAAATGAGACGCTGTTGGTCCGGGGGAATCCCTTCCTTGTCTTGAATCTTTGCCTTCACGTTGTCGATGGTATCGGAAGATTCAACCTCGAGAGTAATGGTTTTGCCTGTCAAGCTATTGAAAAGGCAATGTACTATTAGTTTATCTCAGGCATGCGATGATGCTGAGATTAAGAAACATACGTCTTGACAAAAATTTGCATCCCTCCTCGAAGACGAAGAACCAAATGGAGGGTTGACTCTTTTTGAATGTTGTAGTCAGCCAGAGTGCGCCCGTCTTCGAGTTGTTTCCCGGCAAAAATGAGACGTTGTTGATCTGGGGGAATACCCTCCTTGTCTTGGATTTTAGCTTTGACGTTGTCGATGGTATCAGAAGATTCAACCTCGAGAGTAATGGTTTTGCCTGTAAGCCTGTTAAATGATGAAAACGAGATTAGGCAAGAGCACTCGACAGCAAAGAGGTAGTACTTACGTCTTGACAAAGATTTGCATTCCACCACGAAGTCGAAGCACCAAGTGGAGAGTGGACTCTTTCTGGATGTTGTAGTCCGCAAGGGTTCGACCATCTTCAAGTTGTTTCCCGGCGAAGATCAGACGCTGTTGGTCGGGGGGAATGCCTTCCTTGTCTTGAATTTTGGCCTTCACATTATCGATCGTGTCTGATGACTCGACTTCCAACGTTATGGTTTTACCGGTAAGGCTGCAGAAGGAACAGTATCAGGATCATGGTGCTGGGTCACACGCACAAAAGATGAGCTTACGTCTTGACAAAAATCTGCATACCACCCCGGAGTCGGAGGACAAGATGAAGAGTGGACTCTTTCTGGATGTTGTAATCCGCAAGAGTTCGCCCATCTTCAAGCTGCTTGCCGGCAAAGATCAAACGCTGCTGGTCTGGAGGAATGCCTTCTTTGTCTTGGATCTTGGCCTTGACATTGTCGATCGTGTCGGAAGACTCAACTTCCAAGGTGATCGTTTTACCAGTCAATCTGTTTCAAGAAACGGGTCAACTTGCTATCAAAAGTCGGTAGGTAGGCAAGGGCTACTCACGTCTTAACAAAGATTTGCATACCGCCTCGTAGACGAAGGACCAAGTGGAGTGTGGACTCTTTCTGAATGTTGTAATCAGCAAGCGTACGTCCATCTTCTAACTGTTTGCCGGCAAAGATCAATCGCTGTTGGTCCGGAGGAATACCCTCCTTATCTTGAATCTTGGCCTTTACGTTATCAATTGTGTCTGAGGACTCGACTTCCAACGTGATGGTCTTGCCTGTCAGACTGAAGAGTGGAGTTAGCGACGAACGTTGTCAACAAGTAGCATTCAAAAGAGGAGAGACAAAGGAGACAAACGTTTTTACAAAAATTTGCATTCCACCACGGAGTCGCAAGACAAGATGCAAGGTGGATTCCTTTTGAATGTTGTAGTCGGCCAGAGTACGGCCGTCTTCCAATTGCTTGCCAGCAAAGATCAATCGCTGTTGATCCGGGGGAATGCCCTCCTTGTCTTGGATCTTGGCCTTGACGTTGTCGATGGTGTCCGAAGACTCGACTTCGAGAGTGATCGTTTTGCCGGTGAGTCTGTAGGGAAGAGGAAGGTAAAACGTCAGACGGACAATTGGACCATATTAATTCACCCAGACTGGTTACTCACGTCTTGACAAAGATTTGCATTCCTCCTCGGAGGCGGAGGACCAAGTGAAGGGTGGACTCCTTCTGAATATTGTAATCGGCCAGAGTTCGGCCATCTTCAAGTTGCTTACCAGCGACTGGAGGAACAAAGGAGCTCAACCAGTCAAACCAAAGACCGAGATGACAAGTTCTCTAGAATTTGGGAGACTCACAGATAAGACGTTGTTGGTCTGGGGGGATACCCTCCTTGTCTTGGATCTTGGCCTTGACGTTATCGATTGTGTCGGAAGACTCGACTTCCAATGTGATGGTTTTACCCGTGAGCCTGGAATTAAAAAAACGACATGCGATGAGCGAGAGAACCAGTGGTCGAAATGGATCAAAGATAGCTTACGTCTTGACAAAGATCTGCATGGTGGGAGGTTAAGCTTGAGAAGGGTATGGATGTTGAGCTAGAGCGAGAAGAGCGATGGGTTGAGGAGAAGAACTACTCAGATGAACGGACGGTTTTTGTGGAGTGAACAAGATCAAGTGTTACAGTGGTCAACAAGGAAGTGAAGAGGAGAGAGGAAACAACGATGAATGAGAAGTGAACTGTCGCTAGGTGGAGGGGATGGTCAACAGGCGCAGATGGGACTGGCAATGAGGCTTTATACTGTATCCGGCCTTCGCGGGGCAGTGCACTCCGCAGCAGACACTGCGGTCTCATCGAAGTTTCACCAACGTCCATCGATATCCCTCGTCTTTGCTGGGCCTCGGGGCTATGGATTTACATGGAAAACAGCTCGGATCAATTGATACGCCATGTCAGTAGGGCAGCGGCCAGCCTGATGAGCTGCGCGAGTCACCGGGTGAGTGCGGGATGAGTCGATTGATCATTGGGGGCACCTTGTGTGGACCAGTGAAGGCCAAAAGGGCGGCTTGTGACTGATGATGACGTCACTGGATGACCAGTTTCTCACGAGGCCCTTTAGTTGACCATTAAAATCGATCGGTAACTATAAACACGCTGTGAACAAGTTTCAAAGTGCCTGAGTTCAGACTGCATGTCATCATGAGTCAAACTCGACCTGGTCCGACACTGTCCGACAGCATACATATCCGGCCAAATCCTTCCTCCGAGCCGAGGGGCCAAGCCTTGTTGCTAGGGGACCCCGTGCCACCCGTGTGGTCAGTTGGACAGATTTTACTTGGTGCGAACCAGGTGAATCACCTTTGTGAAATTTGAATGCCAAACTCTTGCAGCGTTGATCCTGGGGGGAAAGTCTATCAAGCTCACTCCTAGTGGCCGGTCGCATCTTGATGATCATCACTTGAGGACCAACAAGTTACAGCAATGAAAGGTAATGTATTTACATATCCCAATCGTGCCATGTGTACCGGACCTTACTGGACAACATTTGTATTTTACCGTTCATGTTTGGATCTTGTAGTCATTTGCATTTTACAATCTTCTAGTTCACAGCATGTTTTGACTTGTTTTAAGTTAGTGTTCTCCCTCAACAACAATTTATTCACATTTCTTTAAAGTTGGACTGTTACCAGGTAAAAGTTCAACTTTTTGTTTCCAAAGTATGGGTTCAGATTCCATGCCAGTAGCAAGCATCAAGAATTCTCAATCTGCCTCCAACAACCCAATCATAAAGACTGATGATCAAGAGGAGCCCTGCCTTTCTAACAAAGTGCAAACCCAACCCACAGAAGGAAGTTGGATCTGTGCACATTTTACCCAGTCAGAAGATGGCAGTGAGGGAACTTGCTATGTAATAGCTAATTAAGATGGTATATGATGCCTCCAAAAATGATAAAGCAAAAGACTGGTAGTACCTTTTGAAAAACAGTGCAGAATCAATCCAACAGGGTCTGCCCAAAAGCAGGCCAAACTAGCTTGTTAGACCACAATTATGTTTCTGTAAGAATTTGCAAGTTGATTCTTGACTTTCAAAAAGCTTATTGGGTAACTTGCTCAATCTTGAACACAATATATAAATATTCTAAAGTCCAATTTTCATTTGGGCCAAGAATTCATCTTTCTTTTCTCTTTTTCTTTTGAATCTCCAAGAGAGCAGAAAGAGAAAATAATTTCTCCAACCAACCAAACAAAACACCTCTGACACAAAAAACAACTTATGATTTGATATCAAGACAAAAAGAGAAAGAATGAAAACACGAGTAAAGAAAAAAAAAAACATGCAACCAAATTCAATTAAAGAGGAGAAAATGATTTGACTCTATAGATGAACTTAGTTTTCTATGTTTTTTTTTTGTATCGAGTGTCTTCTGGAAAGGGAACAAGTGGGCGATCAAAGCATCGTCTCAGTTTCTTCAATAACCTCCTCGATCCATTCCTCGATCTGTTCCGAATCGGCGGGATCGGCAGCTTTCTGAGCAGCTGAGAGTTTACCGGCCCGACTGGCCTCCGTAGCAAGTTCTTGTTTCGAGTGACGTCTCCAGGAGTCCCATTCTTCGAGCAATCGTCGTCGATGGGCCACCAACTCCGCACTCACATTGCTGGCCTCCAGTTGATCCTCCTCCTCGAACTGTTTGCTGTACTCTCGCAAGTTCTTCCTGATCTTCCGTTGCGTCTCCTTGCTCAACAACGACCGAGGTCGTGGTCGCCATAATAGTTGCTTAAATCTTTCCAGCGTCACTTTGTGCATCAATTCTCCCTTGAAGTCCCAGATGGTGTATCCGCATTCAAGCTGTAATTGCAGAGAGATGCAGGGAATCAAAACCCGAAATCACCCCCAGAAAGGAACCAGATACAATCGTGGTCAGAACAGAAAGACTTACTGAGCTTAGCCACATGCTTCCAATACTGGCCAAATATCTGCCACTCGGATCCCACTCCAATTCGGTCATACCATAATGTTCAACAGATGAGAGGAGAGAGATTCCGGATCCCAGGTCTTTGTCGCTCTCATCAAGATCGGTATCCCAAAACTCGAGATCACATTTAGAGCTAGACCCTAGGGTGGCAGTGACAACGTGTCTGCCCTTGGGAGACCAGTGCACCGAGTTACACGTCTTGCCGTCGTATGTTTCTTTTATAATCAAAAGTCCCCCAAAATCAGATGGTTTCATTGGGGAGGAGAGCGAAAATAAACTGCTGGGAAATTGCCTGACTTACTGAACAAACGGAAGTCTCCTTTCTTGACGTCCATCCCAAAAAAGTGTATATTGGTCTTGATTGTCGTTCCCGGAGTTGGACCTTGGGACAAGTTAGGATCGTTACTGGTAATCAAAATAAATCGATTCCCCTTGGGTTCCCAAGCAAAAGCGGTGACAGTATCTAGCAGAAAGCACCAAGATGTTAGCTTCTCTGTCAAAAATCAAAATATGAATTCAAACGTCCAAGAAGAACTAGATAGTACCTTTAATCTCAATCACATCAACGGGGAAAGACTTGTCTCGAACCCGGAACAATTCAAGGTTGCAGTAGGTTGTCTTTTTCGTTTTCGTGTGTCGGTCAACTTTTACGCAGACATAATCACCATTGGATTGCCAGTGTATCTTGGCCTATGATTATTTTTCCAGGTCAGGCAATGTCTGGGATCGAAGAAAAGATTTTAAGAATGCAAGTATCACTTACGTCGTGAACATTGAAGAGATTCTTGGAACGTAGGGTATCACGAGATGGTATGTTCATTAATGAGACTCTCGCAGGCTGGTTGGCAACTTCAGGGGTCCAGAAAGCCAACATGTTCGATCTTTCTCCAGCGTTCTTCTTGGGTTTGGAGTCCGAACTAGGCTCATCGAATGAAGCGCTCGGGAGCAAGTTTCGAGCTTCCAAGATGGCATCACGCTCGTTTTCGCTTAAGGGACACCACTCGAAGTCGACAACTCCTTCGATCTTGATACTCTTTTTGTCAAGTAAACCCATCCCGGGTGTTTCGTAGACACTGATAGCCTGTCCAGGCGTCACCCGAGCCAGGTAACGATCGTCCCCACTCCATTTGAACATTGGCCACTGGAACTTGATTCGTGCCCCACCCTCTTCTTCTGATGACGGGGTGAGCACTGGGAACGTCCGCAGTAATTTTCCAGTGACGACGTCCCAGACTGCAATACTATTCCCTTCATCGTCTTCAGAGAAGATCTGAGGCGCTTGAGGGTCGGTGGGGAGCTCGATTGGCTGATCGGACCAGGTGACGAGATAATTCTCCATGGGTGAAAAGTCGATCAGTTTCACCTTCGGATGGTAGAGCCGATGGATCCGATCGAAGTTTGCTCCACCCCAGAGGGCAACCCCTTGATTGTGAATCGTGGCTAGCATTGTACCATCTGGAGACCAGGCACAGTAGGCATCAGTCCATTTCTAATGGCAAACGAAGTTATTTAAAAACAACTTAAGCCATGCACCAATAATAAGCGAATAAATCAATAGAAAATAGAACATACGGTTCGTTTGTGAGCAACGTCGGGAGCCCCGTTCCGGCCATGCCAGGCAACCTTGACATCATCACCTTGATAGATGATCATCTGGTCACGACCTTGGGGATCGGCTAGCCAACTCTTCAAGTGACTCCGAGGCTTGTACTCTTCCAATACCGGTTTTACAAAGTTCTCGGCCACATGGGCAAATCGTTCGACCTCAGTGAACTTGATCACTGTGAACCGATGCTTCTTGTCGAAAGGGTAGTCGTGCAAGTTTCGCACGGCCCGATCGGCGTCTTGGGGACTATTGAGCTCAATGAAAAGATAACTGTTGAAACATAAACGTGCATAGTCAGTCTATCCTGTTGGAAAATGGGTCCATAACAATCCGAACCGACCCTTTACTCTGATTATTGGGATCCAGAGGCATCTCAATCTTTGACTCGGAGATCTTGAGATCTTTTTTAGCGAAGGTGGATATGATAGCTTTGATCAATCTGCCTCGTTTGGATTCATCGACGATGGGTGCACCCTCGACGACGATGAGGTTATCAAAGGTATCTTGGAACTTGGGTCGGAATCGTTCCTCGATATCCGTGTAGTCGATCTCGAGATCAGAATCTTCCTCATCGCTGAAGTGGTCGACTTCCTTTCCGTTTGCAACCATCTTATCGTTTGATTGGTCGATCGGGATGTGAGGGGATGGTATGAGTGTTGTGGTTAGCTGCAAGTTGCCTCTCTCCCTCTTGACCGCTGTTGACCACTGTTGACCGCCGTTGACCCCCCGCTGAATGACTGTCAACCACAACTGTCTTGCTGGAGCTCCCCCTGCGCCGCATCAAGTCCAGCCCGCTTGCACTGCCGGCCATGCCGAGCATGTTGACCATCTCCCGATGGATGCCCCACTTTATGATGGGCCGTACACTCTTCCAGTCCTTCCAATACACAGTCAATCCGAATTGATCTTTGTGCCTCTTATTTTTTCAAAAAAAAAGAGGAACATCGACTCCCCAACCCAACCCGAACCAACCAGAATCAGTAAAACACATGGTACCAAGTAGATTATGGCCAAATGAATGTAACGGTACTCGTAGTTTCGTTGCTCATTTGTATTGAGATCAGGTTATAGAGCAAAATATTTACTACGAAAGAGCTGTTCAGATACGATGAGACAGTGTTGACCTTCCTTTCAATCCACTGCGAGTTATATAAGGGAATTGTGCTGTTTGCCTTGAAAAATTATACGTACTGAATCCATCATCAAGAGGACTTTGTGCTTCAAAGGGTTGTATCATCAATTGCAAGTATTTCATTTCTCTTCTCTTTTGAGAGACAAGTGAAGCTAAATGGGGTAATATTACAAAGTAGCACAGGAGTACATTACATGTATTATGGTGATAAATGGGGATTTGCTTTTTGGGGGGATGAGATTTAGTGTGCTGATGTGCTGTTCTTGGAATCAGAAAGGCTCGAGATAGAATAAGGGAAGTAAAGAAAAGTGATTTTGTTTCTACACAGATACGTAGATCAAAGCGTTAAAATATCAAAACAAAGCAAAAATTACAACAGGAGAGAGAGAGAGAGAGAGAGAGAGAGAGAGAGAGAGAGAGAGAGAGAGATGGCAGTACGCTTTGGTGGGTTCATGCGCCAATTCGGCCATGGGGGAGGAAAGGATGAATCGATAGTGCTCCAGGATCGCCACTGCAACTACCCCACGAAGTGGACATGATGCTGGGCTCATTAGGATTCCAGCTGATGTCTCTCACTGTTGGTTCGACGTCCTCGACATAAAACCCGCGCCGAAAGACATCCGCACTGCCCGCCCAAGATTGTTCGCCAGTGCTTCCAGAAGGCCGATAAGGGTCGTTGAAGGTGTACTGACTGCTGGCACTACCGACAACGCCAACTTCTCCTGTCGACCTCTGTGGCTTTAATAGCGAGGCCGATTTCGATCGGTGGATGATCTGGGCCGTCGTGCCATCCAGGTTCCAGATGTGGATGTTCCCGTCCGCCGATCCTGAACCTATGTATCTTTGCCCGGTCGTGTTGGGGGGCGAAAAGTGGACCCGGATGAGGGTGTTGAGCACTGAATGTCCCCGATACGTCACCACCGAAGAATCTTGGGGATGTTCCAAATATTCTGCAAGAATTATGTTGTGTTCGATGTTGATTCAGTTTTTTGTTCCTCTTTCTTTCCAGACCCGTTTTCGTAGAACGTTTGGTTGCACCTTGGTGACTTACTTGGTCGGGCGTATGAGCCATGACGATAATCCCAGCCATTAATGAACGTCCTGGGTTTCTTCATCGCCTCAAACTCGGCACCCGAGATCATTTTTCTCAAATCCCACAACTTGGCCGCTTGATCCTTTCCATTGCTCACTATGAACCGGCCGTCCCCTTTAGAGCTCACGTATGTGATTCCTTCGGTGTGCCCCATGAGGGCACTGGTAAAGATTGAACTGTTTCAATCGAATCTGCCAAGACTCAAACAAACAAAAAGCTTGGCGACGGAGAAGAAGAATGGTTGACTAACCCAGCTGGCTTAGCGTTGTTCAAACAGCGCCGGTCCCACACTTTGATGTATGAATCATCCGAGCCTGACACTAAGATGTTGGGATCAGATTTATCGGCAAAACACACCTGACAGACGAAATGGACAAAAGATGATGAGCTAGATTATGAAAGATTGGGATACGTATGTTGAAAATTTAGCGACTCAGGAGAGACCCAACTGCGTTAGTGTCATTAGAATGTCCCTTGATGGTTGTCAGTATTGTCCTCGTTTCCACGTCATATGCAACGATGCGTCCTGTTTGATCTCGCCGTCATGATAAGTAAGATGTTATGGATGGATCTGACAGGGGTAGAAAGCTACAATATGGGTAATACGGGCATACACTTGCCTTGGGTACAGCCAGCAACCAATTCTCGCCCTTGGGAGTCAAACCTCAAGCTCCAAATGCCCATCCCACGAGCCCATCCACCCGGCCGATCATCACCAGAGAGGCACAAAACCTCCTGCTCGTGCTCTTCTAGGCCTAGCCCTAAGACTGCGTCTTCGCCTCTGGTCTTGACCAGATGAACGTAGGGCGTGATAGAGCTGTAGGCAAGCCAGTTGTTGTCAGGACTAAGACTCGCATCGGTGATCGTCCATTGGCAGTTCTGAGAAGGTGCCTGGAAGGTTCGGATCAGTTTCAATGACGAGTTGTGAGTCGATGTGTCCCGGATTCCCCCGATATGATGCATGCTTCTGCGAGATTCTGAAGAATAGTCGGTGTCGTGTGATATCTTGGAGGAAGTCACAGGTGGAACGGTCCTACAAGCGGTTGCAACTGAATTAGACAAGTAGGGCGGCGCTCGTGATTGGCTTTCGAGGTTTTCTCACATGTCATAAATGTAGACCCGGTACGCTTGGGTACAAGTGTAGAAGAAAGTACCATCTACAGCGACGGTGTTATCGATATGAGCACAGATTTCAGTCAAATCAAGACCTTCCTTGCGATGCATCTTCCACAAAACAGTTTAGCAGTCAGGGCGGACCTTCTGAATATTGTCCGCTGTAGATTCTAGATCGATAAGCCGCCACTTCAGTACCGGGTGAATTTGGCAAGTGGTTCTACCAGTAGCAAGGACATCCGAATCTTGGGTGAGGATATCTTGAATCTTTCGATAGTGATGCTCGCGAGGAAGGTAGAGCTTACGGATGCTAGTTGGCCTTTGTTGAACCCATGATAAGACGTTTCGGAGGCCGTTAAAATATCAAATGTGTTGGAGGAATGGTCCTTGAGACGCTTCTTCGACGCCTGGTAGTGTTCTGGTGGCTGGTTTTGATGGTAAAAGATATGTCAAGGTGTTGGTTCTTGTTTGAGTCATTTGCGATTTTGAGAGAGGTGTGTGTGGCTACCGACTTTTCCATACGACCCACTGCGTTCCAAGTTGACGCCATTTTGGATTGGCTCGACAACAGGCGGATAATAATCAGAGGCTTTACCCATTTCGGGACTAGTGTTGGTTCCTTCTAGAGCTTCAAGTTCCTCAGCATCCCAGGTATCGTCTGAGGTTTGATTCTCTGCCTCCTCAACATCCTCATCCTCCTCACTATCTTCAGCATATTCATCAGTGGCGTTCCAAGTTCCGTCTTCCGATTCTAAAACAAAAAGATAAAGGATTGATGAGTAAATTGCATGCTTACACCGATTGGTGTCCGACTCCAAGACAAACAATTCTATCCCAGTCACTCACCAGAATCGAGTCCTAAGAAGGACCTAGCCATAGACATCTCGACAAGGTCGTGGTCTAATGATGGATGAGATGGGAGTTGTTGGGAGATGATATGGTCGAAGTTGAATCTTATGTTTGTTCGTGAGGAAGTGGGTTGAAAAGGGTTGAGGTGGTCACCAAGGGTCTGCCAATCTCGACTTGGCTGCCAATCGACAAAATAGGACACAACCACCCGGACAGCTTTCAAGTTCAACCTCACAGAGTAGTCACAGTATACCACGTATTACCACATGACACTGTTTCTTGATCAGGCATGAATCATGATCAAACTCCCTCGACCAGACAGCGTCAGGACGGCTCTCAGTACTTGTACTGAATTCCTGCCATGTTTTGATAGTTGTTCAACTTTTCTGCAGGCATCAAGGTTGGGGATAGTATTTTTAAAGGCTCACATCATGACTCAGTTCCCTCGAATGATGAGTGTCAAGTCCAAAATTGATTCCGAACACCAAAAATTCTTTACACAGTAACAAGATTCAGCAGATGTCTCGTCGTCTTGGGATTTGCCTGTTCTTTGTTCCTCTGGCATTGTGGATGGCTTGTAACGCCTCAGTGGACCCAAAATGGCCGGAAACCCTAGATTACAAAGCTCACAACACAGAAGATGACCTGTGCCTGAGTCTAGCACCACCTCAAGTACATCACCCTAGCCAAGTAGATATGCCTAAACTAAAGAACTCAGAATCTTTGGTTTCCAAACCAGAGATGTTAGGGCACGAGTAGCGTGAACTAACGACAGGAGAGACTGAAGGCGAACCTTTGGTTTCCAAACCAGAGATGTTAGGGCACGAGTAGCGTGAACTAACGACAGGAGAGACTGAAGGCGAACCTGGGTCGAGCAGAAGAGAGACAACGGCGGGGTGAGACTCAGGCAACAAGAAAAGAAACTGAAATGATCGGATGAAGAAAAAGAGAAGACAACTTGACAATGAAGGAACTCTAAATACAACAGCCGATGCAGAACTAGGTTTCCAACCTTGTGCATCTCACCACGTGCTGGTGAACAGATGCGCCGCAGCGGGGTGAAAAAAGAACCCATCGGACCTAAAGTTCAATACCCCCCCTCTTTTTCAACCCGATAGGTTGATGCCTTGGACACAGGAATTGTGTTTCATCCTGCAGAGAGATTTGGTCAGGAAATCGGCCAAATTGGAGTTTGTCGAAATGTAGTGAGGAGAGACAGTTTGTTCGACGATTTGTTCCCTGATCCAGTGCAGATGGATCCTGAAGTGTTTTGTTCTGTCGTGGAAGACAGTATTCTTCGAGAGAGCGATTGCCGCCTGGTTGTCGCACATTATCGGAATAGGCCCTTCGTGAGATAAGTCGAGAGATGCGAGTAGACGTTTAATCCACACTGCTTCCCTGCCCCCCTCATACAGTGCCGTATATTCGGCCTCGGTTGTAGAGGATGAGACAGATGGATTCTTCTTTGATTTCCAAGAAACCACACTGTCCCCGAGTAGGACAAGGTAGGAAAAGTAGGAGTAAGATTGGAGTTTGTCGTTGGCGTGATCAGCATCAACGAAAATTTTGACTGGACTAATCGAAGAACCCAACGTAATGCCCCTTTTTGTGGTCGCACAGAGGTAACGAAGAAGATGAATACATGCCGCCCAGTGTTTGATACCCGGATGTTCGAGAAATTGAGATAGCTGAGACATCGTGAACGATATATCCGGACGAGTGGATACAGCCAGATAGTTGAGAAGACCAACAGCCCTCCGATAGTTTATCCCCAGCTTGACAAAGGATTGCTGATCTTCGATTGAAGCAGGAACTAGACGCGTATGAGGAACCATGGGAGTTTCGACTGTCCGACAGTTGAGCATTCCGTATGATGAAAGAATTTTCTCTGTGTAAATATTTTGAGACAGTCTTATGGAGGAGTTGATCTTCTCAATCTTCATCCCTAGAAGGTGTCTGAGTGGCCCTAAGTCATCCATCAAGTATCTGGAATTTATCAATTTCTTGAATCGATCGACATCCTTGCTTACAATTACCATATCATCCACGTAGACATGCACCCAACATTTCCAATCGGAGTGATTGGAGACAAATAGGCAGGGGTCAGCGTCTGATGGTGAGAAGTTAATAGACTTGAAGAACGCGGAGAGTTCGTGATGTCAGACCCTGGGAGCCTGTTTCAACCCGTAGATCGACTTCAGAAGTAATAGACATTTTCCTTTTGGTACCGAAAGTCCCGCGGGAGCCCGTAGGTATATGGTCTCATCGAGTCTGCCGTTAAGAAAGGCATTCTTGACATCCATCTGATGAATTTGAAGATTGTTGGCCACCCCCATGGATAGGAGAGATCTTAACGCAGTAGGCCGGCCTGTTGGGGCATAAGTTTCTGCGTAGTTCAGTCCCTCAACTTGAAAGTTCCCGGCAGCACACAGCCTCGCTTTGAATTTTGATAGTTCGCCATTTTCATTGAACTTCTTGCGAAAAATCCAAACGGTGTTGAGAAGTTCCACATCAGCTGGAATATCGACGACCTTCCATACTCCAAGCCTCTCCATCGCCGACAGTTCAGCCTCAATCGCTGCTAACCAACTTGCCGAGTCCGGATCCTTCATCGCTTGCGAGTAGGTTTTCGGAGCCTCAGAGGTTTGATCAAAAAACTGCGCACCCGCGAGGAAGCATTGGACATGAAAGTCGAAGTCTTGATCCACTATTGCTAAGTGCGCTCGTCTTTTGGTGTTGACTATGTTGGCAGCGTCGATGTCACTGCTGATGTCATTGGGAGCTTTTTGATTGATCGGTTGTAGAACAATGTCATACCCAGGACGTTTTTGAGCTTCAGTCAAAGGTTGGTCAGCCGATGTTTGATGTTGGGTTGATACTTCTTGATCGTCAGAGGTTGTCAGCAGTCTTTCAACGTCGTCATCGGATTCATCAGAATCATCGGGAGTCGAATTGGGTTGCTGAGCAGGAAGGATTTCTTCGTCTGATTCAATAGACTCAGATAAAAGATCATCGGGAGAAATGAGGCCAGCGGGATCGAACAAGGAGATTCCTGGATAAAGAGACTCGTCAAAATCGACGTCATGACTCAACTCCATTTGTCCGTCCTCTCTGAGAATGCGCCAGTTATGCATTCCTAGCTGATAGCCTATCATGATGCCCTTTTTTGCGGTGTCAACAAATTTGGACGAGCGTTTTTGGCCTGGAATATTGATGTAGGCCCGACATCCGAATGGACGAAGACGGGAATAATCAAATGATCGCTTGAACCAGATTTCATAAGCAGGAACCCAGTTTTTCTTACGGGTCGGAGTGATGTTCTCGAGAAATACAGCTGCATCGACTGCATGCCCCCAAAGAGAGTGATTTAGCTTTGCCTGCTTCAGCAAGGCTCTGGCCTTCTCGGTGGTTGTCCGATTACCTCTCTCAGCCACTGGATTTTGCTGAGGAGTGTACGGAGCTGTAATATGAGATGTTACGCCCTTGTCCCGAAGAAACGATTTGAATTGATTGGAGTTAAATTCCCCTCCACCATCGGTAGTGATGTTTTTAATCGGTCGAGAATGAAGATTGGTAACCAGATTATAGTATTGCTCAAAGAAGGTAAAAGCCTCTGATTTCTTTCGCAGAAGATAAACAAACTTATACGACGAAAATTGATCCGTTATTTTGAAGTAGTATTCATAACCTTCGGGAGTGGGAGGATTGATTCGCCCCGACAAGTCAAAGTGAACATATTCAAGACAATGAGACACAAGGGGAAGAGTCCCGGTGTAAGGAAGGCGATGAGATTTAGATAGAGCACAAGCTTTGCAATGAAATTTGAAATTAGATAGGTTGAACATCTTCTTCAGGGATTCGTTGCTTGGATGCCCCGCCCGCCTATGAAGGAGTTCAACGTCAGATTTCGATTTCGATGATAACTTTGCCGAAGAAAAGGACTTGCCTTTCACGATTTCGAGATTCATAACGAACACATCTTGATCGGTGAGATTGATTTTGAAGAGAGTCTCGCCTTCGTTGACAAGATTGGCGGTAAGAGGACCGGTCCTGACACGATCACAACCTCGGCGAAAGAGTCGACCTTCCGAAATTAGATTGCCGACCAACTGAGGTACATGTAGACATTCTAGCTTCATTGACTGGCCGGATTCGGTTTTGACATACACATATCCTATGCCAGGGCAGGTTGTCGTCTTGCCATTAGCGAGTTCTATCTTGCACTTTGAGTCCGTACGATATGTTGAGAACGAATTGCGGTCCGAAATCATGTGATGAGAGGCTCCACTATCCAGATAAGCTGTGTTGGGAGCCAGCTTGACGGAAAACGCCCTTTTGACTATGTGCCAAGCGACACTAGAGGTTGATGAGTCGTCTCCGGCAGCCTCCGCCTTCTTGGCCTTGGCCTGAGACTTGGCACGTTTCTTGAGCATTCTCGCTTTTTGTTCGGGATAGAGCTGGAAGCATCGAGATTCAGGATGAGAAGTCGCATTTGGATTGTGCGTACCGTTAGAACATTCAGGTTCAATAGAGCCGGATGGTTTTGACACTGCTTTCATGGCGCTCTCTTCAGATTTGATTTTCACCGTGGAGTCATCGAGTCTTCGGTTTTCAAGAAGAGTTTGAAGTTTATCGACGAGTAGAGGACGATTTTGAATTAAGACTTCACGAGTGTGGACAAGTCCAGAAGGGATTTTCTCGAGAATGTTCTCGCAGAATAGATGCTCGTGGATTTCAAAATCTTTAGGAATACCGATTCGGAGGCCCACAGCGTTTAATCGACTGATTTGGGCAGTGATATCGGAGATGAATGATTCGATGTCGTTTCCTTTAAACCTGAGAGCGAGAAAGTCGTTGTATACCTTCCACTGATTGGATATTGCCTTTGATTGATAATGGCCTTCGAGTTTAAGCCACATCTCTCGAGGGTCGTCTTTGGTTGTTTCAGTCTTGAACTTTTGATAGTTCGTTATCCCCATGTACTGTTGGAGGACACCGGAGGCCTTCATCTTCCTAGTGTTGAAAGATTTCAGTTCGGTGACGTCCGTTGGTTCAGCCTGAGTAGACGAAATGAAAGGATACAGATCATGTTGTTTCATGTATCCTTCAATCATCATACTCCAGAGATCCCAATTCAGATTTGAAAGGACTGGGATCGCGGGATTGGTCGTTTTGTCGTTCATCGTGATATAAGCGATTGGAGTTTTTAGATTGGAGAGAGATTATAGCGCCTCTGGGCTCATAACCTAAAGAACTCAGAATCTTTGGTTTCCAAACCAGAGATGTTAGGGCACGAGTAGCGTGAACTAACGACAGGAGA